TTAAAATAGCTCACATGACAAATAATGGCTGACATTCCATGGCCCTACCTGTCAAAAAGTAACAGTGGGCATCATTATCTAAAACCATTCTTATATGACTGTAATGCTACATTTTCTGTTATACCATGTGCACTATTATCACATTTAACCAGAGCCTCCTTAACCCCAAACAAATCCAAAACTCTACTAGAATCCCCAAGATTGGAAATGGAGTGTGTGTGTGTGTGTGTGTGTGAGAGAGAGAGAGAGAGAGAGAGAGAGAGAGAGAGAGAGAGAGAGAGAGTCTTATCATAATTTGTCTATTGCCATTCCAGTAGTTTTTAATGTGGCTGTGAGTGAGGGGTTTTTTTGTATTCTGCATTTTTTGCGCAATATAAATGCTCTGTGTCATTTATTACTATTTCCCTTTCTTCATACACTCAAATCATCACTGCAACCACTCTACAATTAGGAATCTGGATAACTTTTTAACTGGTGGTGCCAAAAATTTTGCTTCGGCTCATTTTCATTCGTTTTTACAAATTACTCTCAATTTTAAAATACAATATCCCATATACATATATCGCTGTTCCTAAAAAGAAAAATTAGCAATTCTAAGGCGTTTTAATTGCCCTGAAAAGAGGAGTCAAAAGGGGATACTCTTGTTTCTTGTCAAAGTGAAAGTATGAGCCTCCAGTAAAAAATCAACAACAAAAATTATGCTCTCAGAAATTTCATACAAGTGGAAAAGAGTTGGTGCCTTGCCCCCAAAAAAACCCAGAGTTCTTGCTCTGACTTATGCACAAGGATGTTCCAATTATAGAAAAGGTTAAAAATAAAGCAGATCATACCCATTGTCAGATTCCTCAATATTACTGTTTAGAGGTTTATCCCTTGAAGCACCTCCTGCAAAGACAAGGAAAAGAAAATAAACATCATAATAAACTTCTCTTTCTTTTTCTTTGACTGTCCTAACAAAAAAGGAGGAGAGACAAGGACGATAGATCCTTGACAGGAAAAAAAGAGCAAACCACAGCAAAGCACCTGCCAACATCCCACATAATAGTCAATATGTTTGGAATCGAAAAAGGTGTGGTGTTTTGTTCTAGTAAGAGTTTTACGGCGCTCGCAAGTGCATAAGGTCATATGAGCGTGCGAAACAAAAGTTGATCTCATTCACAACAGCTCACTGCACAGCTTGGCTCGAGTCAACGATCAGATTTTAAATAGTTAAAAATTGGAGGTCAAATAACAATCTTAAAAATGGTAATCTAATCTAAAAAAATCAAAATATATGTATTTACAATATTCCATAAAGGTCAATGGCCTTTATAAAATCAAGGATTCTGTTGGGATCAACGACGAAAAACAGGTCTTGTAATTTTTAGCATTGAAATATTTCATTCCGGTCTCTCCAAAGTCTAGACATTCTGTTAAAATGTGTCTAATGGTAAAATCTGTGTCGCATCCGACACCAAACAGCTTCTCTTCTCCCTGAAGGAGGTGTATTTGTGTGTCAGGGACATGTGTCCAATGCGTAATCAGGTAAAAATGATTTTGTCTCTTCTGGAGAGGCCCGAAAGTTTTTGCTGACCCAGATTGGGCTTGATGGTGTGTAATTTATTCTTTTCTTGTTTTTTTCCGATGAGTCTCCCACAGAGGTGTAGTTTTTTTACTTTATTTTTAAAGTCAATCTGTGGGAGAGTGTTCATCGTTGATCCCAACAGAAGGGACAAGGATTCCTTCATAAGGAGGTCCACTTACTCGTTTCCTCGGATGCCCAAATGGCCAGGTAGCCATGCGAACACGATACTTTTCCCGGTTTCAGTCAAAGCGTGTATTTTTTGTTGTAACCTGACTATTTTTGGGTGTAAGAGTGTGTAGTTTCTCATAAGTGAGGTAATGAAAGACAGAGAGTCAGATAGGATAAGGAAAGATTCACAGATTGGCTAGGGAAATTTTCTACGGAGTCCAGTGCCAATGGCAGAGGCCTCCGCAGAGAAAATGGAAGCTTCGGAATGGAGTCTCCTCTGGTGTGTAATGTTAGAGGATAGGGCAGTAGCGCCCAAGGTGGAGTCCAATTTAGAGCCATCTGTGAAGATAAGCTCCGCACCGGGGTATTTTTCTATAAGTTTTTTGTATTCTGCTATGTTTTGGCATTTGTGCTTGCTTTAGTGTGTGTGGTCAGCTGAAACAGTGAAAGTCTATTTTTGCCTTGGTGAGGTGCCATGGAGGGAGTTCGGGGAAAATAAATTATTGGATGTCTTGTTTGGAAAATTGTATGTTTTTAAGGTCCTCAAGGACTTTGAAGCCGAAGGGTTTGATTAGTTTTCTGTTGTTTTGGAATTTGTTTAAGATGTCTGGGTTTGTTCTGAAAATACAAACATGTGCTGGGTTCTCTGGTGTTGAGCTTTACTAAATTGCGTACAGTAGTCTCCGCCTAAATGCACGGTGCTCGGGAGGGATCCTGAGCGTGTTTATACGGAGCATGCGTTTACATGAACCTTTGCAAGGGGAGGAAGGGACGCTGTCATCTCAATTCCTTATTACTCTGGTGATCTCCCTTGGAGGAGGGGGTCATTTTGGCAGATAATGTGACGATACGTGGCTGTTTTGTGAAGGATTCTCCGAGTTCCCGACAGGGCTTAAGAATACAAAGGGGGACAAACTCAAAGTAATGAATATACACTAAAAACGTCGGGAACAGATAGCCTATGAGGAAACGGTTGGTGATAGTCATAGAGACGACGGACCAGCCACGTGGCTTTCCAAGCGACCACCCCCCACCGTAAATTCATGCAGAATCATCCTTGAGAAACATTTTGTCTTGTGATTCGTTGAACGGGTAGATCTACGTTATAAGTTCTTCGAGCGCAGCTAATTAGGCTTACTTGGTTAATCTTTAATTCTATAGAGGCCTGTCTAGTGTTTTACGACATTTACGCATTTCGCGCATCAGGTCTAGATCTAACTAAACATTACACGCAGTCACGCAAACTCAAACACCAGTCAGAAACCTACTCTTAAAGATACATTTCCAGTGACCAATCAAAAAACATTTCAGTCCCCCCAATCCCATCCACCCCCCCCCCCCCCCCAACATATAATAGCCAGCCCGAGACCGAGACCGAGACCTATGCGTCAGTGGAAAGTAGGGTGTGTAAACGCTGTCTATCACTCTCTTTGTCCGGCGTGAGGGGCACTCTCACCAAATATCCGGTTTTCTAGTAAATTCTAGGCTTGCCTTATGCAAGCTGTGCAGGTTGTAGTGAAAATTTCCCCTTGCCAAGCTTAACTTGTCGGCATGTTTCACGGATCGGAGCGTGCATTTAGAGGGAGTGACCGTGCGTGTGTACATCTAAATTATATAGTAAAAAACCTGTCACAGGACGAAAGCGTGCGTTTGAGCGGAGCGTGCTTTTGTATGGCGTGCGTTTAGGTGAAGACTACTGTATTGTAGTGAGAGTTGTGTGTGTCTGAGTGGGAAGGATGGTATGTCTGCCTCGGCCTGGAGGCTCTCCACTGGAGAAGTGCAGAAAGCCCCCAGGGCGAGGCGAGTCCTTGGTTTTGTACTGGGTATACCATTTTCAGGACGAGGGGTTTTGCCGATCCCTAAACCTGACAGCCGTAGTCAAGCCTGGATCAGGCAAGGGAAATGTATAGATGGAGAAGGTGTGTTGAGTCCTCGCCCCACTCCGGAAGCGATAAGCGAAGGTCTTTTATGTGTGGAATGAAAATGAGTTTCTTGTCAAATATAATGCCAAGGAAATGGGCCTGGTCATTGACGGGAATCCTTTCCCAATATCGCATCAAATCCTGCTGCAGTACATGTTTGCCTGATCAGCAGAGATGCACGGTGCACTGCAACCGTCTTTGATGGGGAAAACGTGAAACCCTTATTATTTGCCCACTTTTCAAGTTTGTGCATAGATCTTAGTTGAGGTTTTCTTGAAAGACAGCATATCAGGAAGTCGTCAACATATAATGAGCAGTCTATGCTATTTGGAGGGTCTTAACGATGGAATCTATTAATAATTTCAAATAGGAGAGGAGAAAGGATGCTTCCCAGGGGAACACCTTCCTCCTGTTGGTGAGGACCAAAAGGGAGGATCCGACACAAATCTGGAAGGAATGGTTCTTCAGAAAATTGCCAATGAAGGCGGGGAGGTGACCGCGTATGCCGAGAGCGTGCAGGTCTCTGAGAATGCCGTACTTCCAGGTTGTGTCAAAGGCTTTTTCGTGGTAAAAAAAGATGGCGATCATGTGGCCTCCTTCGACAAACAAAGATCTCCAGGCAGACCAGATGATCCAGAGTGGATCAAGTTTTCCTGAATAAGCACTGGAGACCGCCACATGTCATATATATCTAGCAGGAGTGTAAGTAATTCTGTGGGTAAATGTCTAATGATCTGGTTGTGGATGTCATCCGGACTCGGGGCTGTATTGCTCAGGTCCGATATGCATGATGTCAGTATGTTTGGAATCGAGGAAGGTGTAGTGGTGTGTCTTACCATTTCTGAAGGTGTGATTGTGATAGGGATATTTTTTCTGGTTGCCTGCTCTTCTATGGTTTCAACGAGCACAACATATACACAGGACCTCTGAGATTTGTCTGCATATGAAAAGACTTGGTCTCGATCTTACCTACCTTACCATTGGGAGTTTGGAGGAATATGTAAAAGGAGTGAGTGAGCAAAAGGTGTTTTTAACTGAGAAAGAAAGAGGATTAAATAAAGGACAGGAAGAGTGGAGGAAGAGGAGGAGAAAGAAGTAGCAGAAGAAGAAGAAGAAATTGGACAAGTCAGCATGGCCCTAGGTTCAAAAGAGTACTGTACCTCAGGTACAGCACCTTGTTTGTCCATTTAACCCTTCCAGCCCCAGCCATTTTTGTGCACTTCCTTACCCCAGCCCCAGCCAATACAGCGGTACTTCTTCAGAGAAACTTGTATGCATTCTAAAAAGTGATCTAGTATCTTTGTAATGAGGTTTAGGTAATAACATAGAACAGTGTTCAAAGGTAAATGAACGAATATTATGAAAATTACAGTTTAATTAGGTTCGCTAATTTAGAAAAATGCGCAAAATTGGTACCTCCCGAAACAAAATATACGCTCTTGGAATGGTGGGAGGTACAAGCTGTGCTGAAAATATACACGCTTGGGGCTGGAAGGGTTAACACTTTCCCTACCGAGAGCCGCATGCTCGCGGACGTGGCCTCGCTGGACCGAAAGCCGCAAAATACGGCTCCGGTGGCTCGCTATCTATTCCAATCCAGTAATGAAATTCTCGCCCGATCCTCGGTTTCAATATAATAGAATAGACTTCCTGTTAACGGATACGAAAGAAAATATATCTCCGAGAGATGATTTTTTAGTCATTTCAAAGCTTTTTTTGTCCCCTTTGAAACGGAAAAAAGAGAAGAGACCTATGCGTCAGTGGAAAGTAGGGTGTGTAAACGCTGTCTATCACTCTCTTTGTCCGGCGTGAGGGGCACTCTCACCAAATATCCGGTTTTCTAGTAAATTCTAGGCTTGCCTTATGCAAGCTGTGCAGGTTGTAGTGAAAATTTCCCCTTGCCAAGCTTAACTTGTCGGCATGTTTCACGGATCGGAGCGTGCATTTAGAGGGAGTGACCGTGCGTGTGTACATCTAAATTATATAGTAAAAAACCTGTCACAGGACGAAAGCGTGCGTTTGAGCGGAGCGTGCTTTTGTATGGCGTGCGTTTAGGTGAAGACTACTGTATTGTAGTGAGAGTTGTGTGTGTCTGAGTGGGAAGGATGGTATGTCTGCCTCGGCCTGGAGGCTCTCCACTGGAGAAGTGCAGAAAGCCCCCAGGGCGAGGCGAGTCCTTGGTTTTGTACTGGGTATACCATTTTCAGGACGAGGGGTTTTGCCGATCCCTAAACCTGACAGCCGTAGTCAAGCCTGGATCAGGCAAGGGAAATGTATAGATGGAGAAGGTGTGTTGAGTCCTCGCCCCACTCCGGAAGCGATAAGCGAAGGTCTTTTATGTGTGGAATGAAAATGAGTTTCTTGTCAAATATAATGCCAAGGAAATGGGCCTGGTCATTGACGGGAATCCTTTCCCAATATCGCATCAAATCCTGCTGCAGTACATGTTTGCCTGATCAGCAGAGATGCACGGTGCACTGCAACCGTCTTTGATGGGGAAAACGTGAAACCCTTATTATTTGCCCACTTTTCAAGTTTGTGCATAGATCTTAGTTGAGGTTTTCTTGAAAGACAGCATATCAGGAAGTCGTCAACATATAATGAGCAGTCTATGCTATTTGGAGGGTCTTAACGATGGAATCTATTAATAATTTCAAATAGGAGAGGAGAAAGGATGCTTCCCAGGGGAACACCTTCCTCCTGTTGGTGAGGACCAAAAGGGAGGATCCGACACAAATCTGGAAGGAATGGTTCTTCAGAAAATTGCCAATGAAGGCGGGGAGGTGACCGCGTATGCCGAGAGCGTGCAGGTCTCTGAGAATGCCGTACTTCCAGGTTGTGTCAAAGGCTTTTTCGTGGTAAAAAAAGATGGCGATCATGTGGCCTCCTTCGACAAACAAAGATCTCCAGGCAGACCAGATGATCCAGAGTGGATCAAGTTTTCCTGAATAAGCACTGGAGACCGCCACATGTCATATATATCTAGCAGGAGTGTAAGTAATTCTGTGGGTAAATGTCTAATGATCTGGTTGTGGATGTCATCCGGACTCGGGGCTGTATTGCTCAGGTCCGATATGCATGATGTCAGTATGTTTGGAATCGAGGAAGGTGTAGTGGTGTGTCTTACCATTTCTGAAGGTGTGATTGTGATAGGGATATTTTTTCTGGTTGCCTGCTCTTCTATGGTTTCAACGAGCACAACATATACACAGGACCTCTGAGATTTGTCTGCATATGAAAAGACTTGGTCTCGATCTTACCTACCTTACCATTGGGAGTTTGGAGGAATATGTAAAAGGAGTGAGTGAGCAAAAGGTGTTTTTAACTGAGAAAGAAAGAGGATTAAATAAAGGACAGGAAGAGTGGAGGAAGAGGAGGAGAAAGAAGTAGCAGAAGAAGAAGAAGAAATTGGACAAGTCAGCATGGCCCTAGGTTCAAAAGAGTACTGTACCTCAGGTACAGCACCTTGTTTGTCCATTTAACCCTTCCAGCCCCAGCCATTTTTGTGCACTTCCTTACCCCAGCCCCAGCCAATACAGCGGTACTTCTTCAGAGAAACTTGTATGCATTCTAAAAAGTGATCTAGTATCTTTGTAATGAGGTTTAGGTAATAACATAGAACAGTGTTCAAAGGTAAATGAACGAATATTATGAAAATTACAGTTTAATTAGGTTCGCTAATTTAGAAAAATGCGCAAAATTGGTACCTCCCGAAACAAAATATACGCTCTTGGAATGGTGGGAGGTACAAGCTGTGCTGAAAATATACACGCTTGGGGCTGGAAGGGTTAACACTTTCCCTACCGAGAGCCGCATGCTCGCGGACGTGGCCTCGCTGGACCGAAAGCCGCAAAATACGGCTCGGGTGGCTCGCTATCTATTCCAATCCAGTAATGAAATTCTCGCCCGATCCTCGGTTTCAATATAATAGAATAGACTTCCTGTTAACGGATACGAAAGAAAATATATCTCCGAGAGATGATTTTTTAGTCATTTCAAAGCTTTTTTTGTCCCCTTTGAAACGGAAAAAAGAGAAGAAAAGCGCCCCCCCCCCCCCCCCTGACTTCAGTATATGTGTCATATTTTCACTTCTATATTAGGTACACATACATAATTTTCAGAATTTCTTTGCATTACTTGAGTCAACCTACCTGGAAAGTTTGAATGATGCTGTTGTTGTACTTTTATAGATATGACCTTTCAAAACAAGAAAAATGTTTATTTCATATGACACCTTCGATATTGCATAATCACTTTTAGAAACCCCAAACTAATGTAATTGGAATAAATCTTCAATATTGTATCACCATCTCATAGCTTATTTTCTAACCTTCAGTTTGATGGGCCATATGATATGGTTTGAGAGCGTTTAGTTGGATGTTTTGACATTTTCCTTTGGTGGGGTAGGGGCGTAAAAACAGGTCAGGGAAAAGCTCTGGGCCAGTGGTGGATTTTGGCCTGGTAGGAAAAGAGTTAAAACACAGCTCTGAGTGGATTTACTAATAAATATTGATTAATGAGACAAGAAATGGTAAACTTCTATCTTCAAAGGACACTCAAGCTTGGGAAGTTGCCAAAATTTAGTGGCCATTTTCTCGCTAATTTCAGCTCTGACACCAGGTGACCCCCACCTCCTTCAATTGCAAATATCTCTATTTCTATTCAACATAGATGGACTTTTTTCTCACCAAAAGCAAGACAAACAAACAAACTTTATGATTATACCATTAACTCTGTATGCTCAAAAACTGACGAGTGCCGAATTCCACAACGTCATGACACAGAAGGAAAACAGAAAGTAATCAATACTCGCATATCTTGTCAAAAGTCTATGTTTCCTTGTCCTTTGCTTTATGGACAATCAAAAATCAAATATTATGGTTTGACACCAGTTCAGTAAAATCTTATTTTGTCAGGGTACTTGGCAAGTCTGCTGAAGGGAAACTTTTTGACCCTTTTAAAATGCAGATTACTACCAACACTCTCCACAAAATTGGTATAGAGTGACAAAGCTGGGAAAGAATGAAAAGAAAACAAAATATAGCAAGTTCACAGCATATTCTCCACAGTTCGTCTATCATGAGCATCACAAGCCTTTTTTTAATACAACTTTAGGACTGTTTACTACCATTCACTCAATGATCTCAATTCATTTCACGTCACCAAACTCAGCCATACCACCACCATTTCACACGGCTCTTTTAAAGTCAAAACAACTGAAGCAACAGTTTTAAAGAAAACAACAATAACTATTCGATCTCTCAAAATGACTAATCAGTCTTTCAACAATGTCTTTCAACATTATAAGTGTGTATGCCTAAAGAAAGGTACCAAAAGCAGCCAAAGACCATTTTGAGCTACAGGCTGATAATGACAAAAAATCACTTTTTTGACCAAAATGTGCTTCAATAAAAAAAATGATAGTTACACCAATTTTTAACAATGTGTTAACAGAGTTCTCGTTGATTTGACTTCTAAATGTTTTATTTTGAATTATTTTGAGGGTAGGGTATGTTTTAAAAGGATAATGAAAACTGCTTTTAAAAAATATTAAAAATCTATTCTTGAAGCACGTTTTCTCTTCCCCGCTATGTTTTACCATTGAATTCTAATCATGACATTGATGTCAACTGAATGCCGAATTGGAAATGAGATTTCAAAGAGTAAATACATTAGAAACAATTGAAAAATTGTCTTTTTTTTTTAGTTTGTATGTGTTCTAAACTGAAAAGCTAATTTTCTCAAAATTAGATCTTTATTATCTACCTCGCAAAATGTGCAATATCTCAAAAACTACTTGAGATCTCAAAAATTCATAAAAATAATGTGTTCAGCATTGAATGTTCTATTAAGTACAACCCTTAACTCTAAATGGTTAAAATCCAACTTTTGGGTACCTTTCTTTAGGCACACACAGCAGCTCTCCCCAATGTTGTTCCAGCACAGTATGAGAATGACATTGATAAATCAACCATTTACAATTTTACTGTGCATAAGAACATGTTAATATCCCACCTTTGGGAATGGCCTGAAGACACTTCAGTCAGTAGCACTGCCTGGGGGGGGGGGGGGCATCTCGAACAGATTCAATTGCATATATCATATATAACTTTTACTTACCACGAGAACCAGGAAAACCCTTTCTTTCATCATTAGCTGAAGGACCAGGTTTCAAAGCCTTCGCTCCCCTAATGAAGGTAACAAAATATATTGAGCAACATATGTAACAGAAATGAGAGCCTATAAGCTGTACAGTTTGTCTGTTTATTAGTTTTAGTGAAAATTTGCAGCGCATGCAACAAAGATATGTCATGAAGTGCTGAAGATAAGGTGTTACTAGACAGTAATATATGAAGCAAAGGCGGAAAGATAAAGACAATAGGTGTTCGATAGGAAAGAGGAAGCAAACTACACCAAAGCACCCCCTAACCACCCACCAAGTTTTTTTTATATATATATATATAGCTATTGAAAATTCCTCCATGCCTAAGGATAAGGAAATGTAGAAATGAAAACAGGACAGAAAGGAAATACAAAAACGAAAATGTAATGTTCACTTAAAAAACACACTAAAAACAAAAATGCTACAAATGCTTTATCTCAAATTTCATGTATGATTTCTCCACATTTTTTGCTCTTAGTTTGAAAGTTCTTACAAGCAATTCAAAAGAAGATCTAATGTGAAAACTACATTGAAGTCCGCTGAAACAAAATCTGCAGAACCGCCACCAGATTTTCTTCAGTTTGGATATTCAGTTTAGAGAGGTTGCAAAAATAGAAACAAAAAGAAAAGGGATTTTGATTTCTTTCCGTTTACTGCTGTTTCCGGATTAACCGTTGTGACTCTTATTGATTTTCACAAATTACTGTGAAGTGAAAAGTATAATATTCAACATATGTGAGGCATTGTGGTGAAATCAGGCGCGCATCAAAATAATGAAATCCAAAATATCGGCATTTTTAAATTGGATTTTTGTTTTTTGGCTAAGCACATTTTACATGTGTCCAATTAAAAACATTTTCTGGGTGCATTTTACTGAAATATGTTGATCAAAGGCACAAAAAAAGTAAATTTTCAGTTTCCAAGCTATGAAAATCACCAAACTTTGAAGGTCATTTTCTCACTACTTTTACCTCTGAAACCAGGCGACCCCCACCCCCACCATCTTTAAATGCGAATATCTCGACTTCTGCTCAAAATAGATGGATGGGTTTGGGGGTTTTTTTATAGTAGAAAGTAAGACAAGACAAATGAATTAGCTTTAAGACAATAAGTCTAAAGGTGTCAATCTTATCTTATCTAAATTAAGGGCCAAAAGCAAAGTATAGCCTGACAAAGACTATACTTGTGTGAATATCTCGACTACTTTTTAGGTAGACTGGTATTTCTTATTCAATGAATAGGTTTTAAGATTACACCAAAACTCCATATTATGCTCAAAAGTTTATGAGGGCCTGATTCCACTGCGTAGTGACACATTTTACAAACTAAATAATTATAATGACAACAATAATACAAAAGCAGTAAAAGAAATGGTAAAAAGAACAAAGAAAAATATGAAAATCAATGGGATGATTTGAACGGTACTTTTACTTTTACTTTTTCATCTTCTGTCGCCGTTAAGTGTCAAGGGGAGATGCAGTTTCCTATGGTAGGCCAGCTTTGCAGCTTTTTCAGTTGTGATGTTATTATTTTCTTAGGGTTTCCCTGACACCATCGATCCACCTTTTGCATGGCCTTCCTCTTCCTTTATAGCCTGAGTGCTTGGTGTTGTAGGCCCTCGAGGCTGGCAGGTCAGGTGACATGCGTAACAGGTGGCCAAATCATTTTATCCTTTGTCTTTCTATGTAACGCAGGCAGGACTCAGTGCCGATAGCTGCTCTTACTTCTACATTTCTCTGCCTGTCTCATCTTGTGATGTTAAGGGTTTTGCTGAGACATTTCATTTCGCATGTGGAGATTATGCTTTCATGGGTTTTGCTTAACTCATTCGCTGCGTATTATTTTCGGCTTGTGGACGAACTTTTTTCGGGAAGGTGGAATGAGATGGTGACTAGTGCGCAGTTAAAAGGTCTTTGGGGCCACAAATTCAAATAAATATTAACATATTATACACCGAAATTTTCAGTATGATTGGTAGAATACATTTGTAATGTTTATTTGTGAATTTTTTAACTTTGGTTCCTGTACAAGGCGATTATTCAATACAATATTGCTAGGATTCAGATAAAATTTGAAAATAACTCTAACTTCGGTGAAACTCAAAAAATATGTTTGCACCGAGTCAAATGATAATCAAAATAACCATAAATGAATACAGAACTGAAAAATATTGAAAAATTTGTAGTTATTTATGTACATTCCATAAAATTTGCACAGTTGGATCATGACATCCGACATTTAAAAAAAAAAAATTTTTATTTTTGATCTTGAAAAATGGACATGATGCATTCACAAACAGAAAAAAAACACTCGTATCGTATATGGAATTATTCAGAATTGCATTTGGAATAAACTTACACATCTTGAGTGGTACTTTTTAAGCAATTTCACAAAAAATAGTGATTTTTGGGCGAAAAAAATAATTTGACAATTTAGATCTAGATCTAGAACTGCAAAATATTGATTTCTCAATAACAGAGCAATGGCAATTTGAGCCCAATCGCATCAATATTCTAAAGAAGAGTCCTCCTCGAGGACCTCATGCATCGCCACAATGCCATGTTTGATGCTCTAAGTGAATAGTATAGTTACTCTTTTTTTGTGTGTTATTTTTTTTTTAATGTTGTCATAAATTATTTTCCTAGTTATTTTTCCACCTAACAAAAGTGTAATATTACATTCGTTCAAGACCCCCCCACCCCCCTCCCACCTTCTCACACTTTTCCTTTACAGGAGTTAAAGACCCCCCCCCCCCCTTCCAAGCATAAGAAATTATATTTGAACGTCCCTGGCGGGTTTTCTGGATGAATCGATCCATGTGTAGATCTACCCTCTTAGCCTAAGATTTAAAGTTTTTCACAAATTTTTATGCTAGATCTAGATATATCTTTACCTAGTGCTATGGAACCAAGCAAGCTAAGTAATCAGGCGATCATGTTTACGATTAATTTACTCTAGATCTAGATCTAGCTAAAAGATGATTCAGTCCAGACAGGACTATTGGGGGGTCCGGTCGGTTGTGCTCGCCAGATTGAGGGCGCAAAGCGGCTATCGTGGCACAAGTCGATTGGTCCCGGCTCGTTGCCTCCAAAACAAACATGTTATTTTCAGGCAACGAATGGGCACTGGCACTGGACACCCTGTAGTGCATAGTGGTAAATCTATTTCACATATTCAGGTACGAATTGTCCCCCTTGGCGTTGTTATTTTTAGTCTTGGAAGAAAGTTTCAGTCATTTTTAAAGACATTTTATTATTATTTTTCCAACTTTTGCAGAAAATTGGCTAAAATTCGCAAATTCACGAAAATGGCAAAAGTTACGCTGAGGGGAAAAGTTGCGCGTGCAAGTTGCGAGTTGCAGGCGCGAATTTCTCTGAAGAGAGACAGGCTAAGATCTGTTTACTGTTAACACCAACTCTTTGTTATCATACATATTCTGATGTATAATATGAAATAAAGATTTAAGCAAATACCCATTAGAGTCCCTGGAACGTTCCATGCTGCTCGATTCTGTGCCCAGCTGATCAACGTCTTCTTCACCTGTAAAATGATGCAAACCAGTTACATAAAACACTGTAAACGAAATTCACCTTGTTTGGTAAATATTTGGTACTACATCAGTAGAATGTGTGTGTATACATGAGAGTGCTCAAGTGTGTAAGTGTGTGTGCGTGTGTGTGTGTGGGGGGGGGGGGGGGGAGAGGAGACACGCATGCCAATATGTTTGCATTATATGAGTGCATGTGCATGCATGTATGAACGAGTGCGATGATATCTAATTCAGTAAATTTCTTCAATGAATTGAGCACACTGCCCCAGCCCACATGTAATATGACAGCCAGTCATACTGCTGACCTCAGTAAAAGTCGTGCTGTCATGTCAGGTAGTGTGGCGTCTGTCTTACAGTGGCCATCAGCTGCCCCGGTCCCACTTGGGTTTTGGGGGTATTTTTTCCCCCCTCTTATGTTACTTTATTTTGCCAATGACCTCTATAACTGGGTTGTTTGCATGTTAGCAGCATTTCTTTTCTTTTTTTTTTTAAGTTCTTACCAGGGATAATGAATTATGGAAGTTACATCATTGCAGTAAGAGACCATAACTTAAACCCTGTCCATAGCGGCCATCAGTCTATAATGGTCATTTTTTCTCGGAGATCTTGAGTGACCATTTTAGACAAGTTCCAATGATTGCGCTTAGTATATATATATATATATATCTTTTATTTGTCCAGTGCTCATTCTTTTACACAAATGATGCCATCTAGTTAGTAAAACGAAGTGAGCTTAATTGTTCAGCTGCTAATTTCTGTCTTTAGAGAGGGGGGAGGGGGGAAGGGGTGTCTATTTTCGGGTTAAACATCGTTTTTTCAGAAAACAGTAGGCCTAGTAGGTTATTCAACAGCAGATTAACAATAATGCACTTGGTTTACATATATACATGACCACACAACCATTTGTACTTTGGTTTTTTTCATAACGAAAGTCTGTAGAGTCCAAAGAGGAAACTTTATTTATACAAATAATAAACTTAATCTCTCCACACTTAGTCACTGAGTCACCGACTCTTTCTTCAAAGAAAAGACTTCAAAGGAAAAGAACTTCTGATCCACATTTCTGTTTCATAATCTCCGGCTCCAAGAAAACATTCAGGACCACAGCATGTGAGGAGCACACTGTAATCGTTCGCATTCTTATCCATTATCATTCCATCCCCATCAGCAACAAAGCACTGAACTCAAGTCTCTAAAGATGTCATGTCAGTTTTATCTTTTCTAAACTAAGGGCCAAAAGCAAAGTACAGCCTGACAAAGACAGATTGTCACTTAGGTGAATAGCATAAAAATACTGCTCCCAAATCCAAAGATTGGGGGATCCTTGTTCAACTGCTGCCCAGACCAAGCCAAGATGACAGTTCACTGTTTATATACTTACAATGTTTCCTTTTCTTTTCGTCTGTCCTTGTAAAAGACTCTGACAGAGTCGTCTGAATATACTTCTTTTCTCCTTGTGACATTCCTCTTTACTTTACCCTAATGCAAAAAAAAATAAAAAATTACAGAATAAATTACCGTAAAAAAGATCATAAGCTTTTTTCATATACATATATTACAAATATATAAATTTAAAAATTATACAGTGGTATGGGGTGGTGCTGGAAAGGGGTGGTGCCAAGTCACCTATCTGCAAGGGTCCAGTACACTCCCAATCAAGGTACTATAAGAATGGGTTTTGATATTTTTATTTCCTTTTTTGCATTTGTGAGCCAATACAAATAAAATGGCAGAACCAAAACATGCACAAAAGACACAAATAATGTAAGTTTTCAGTTTCAACGGACTAACAAGCTATGGAAATAACTAAACTTTTGTGGCCATTTTCTAGCTAACTTTGAAACCAGTCGACCCCACCTTCTTCAACCTCAAATATCTCCACTTTTGTTCAAGATAGATGGATATTTTTTTCACCGATAGCAAGACAGCTGAACAAGCTTTATAGTGATACCAATAAAACAGCACATGCCCCAAAACTGACGAGCGCTTGTTTTCACCGCGTCGAGATATGCACAGCCTCTGGGGGTCAGAGACAGGCATAGTGTTTTGCTGCCAATCACAACATATGGCCACTAAAACTGTTGCACATCAATTAATTTCAAGAAAATTTCACACCTAATGGCAAAACATCAAATTATGGGGAAAACAGTGAGGCATGCTTCCCTGTAACTCCCCATTTCTTTTACTTCAGTGGGCAGGGAGGCTTCCCCTGAAACGGAAACCCTCTAGATTAGTCCAAAGCGCAGAAATTACTAATTTTTAGGTTTAGCGTTAAGTTTATAGTGTTTATAGTTTGAATAAAAACCATCAAATATTTTAAATACTATTGATTTGTGACGGTCATTTAAAGTATAGATCTAGATATATCTAGATCTAAAGTCCAAAATATTTGTGTAAAATGGATAAAATTTAAATGAACAAGATTTAGGGAGCGGCTGTAAGAATAATTAATCTAGGCCTACCTGAGTGTCCTGAGCATGAAAGGGAGTGAAAGTATTTACCTAGTATAGCCCAATTAACGCTTTTTCAGTATTTCCTAAATTTGGGCCTAGATCTAGATCTATATAGTTGCAAGCGCCGTAAAACCCTTTACTATAAAAAAAATATATAACTCTGCAAAACATCGAATTATGGTCAAATTCAGGGGGCATGAAACCCACCAACTCTTCCAACTTGGGGCCAAAACCGGTGAATAATGGAGGGTGGGAACAACCGAAAAAGCGCCAACTAGATCTAATTCACTATTAAAATTTGAACTCCTCCCTTCACCCCTCCCTCCCACCCCCAAGTCTCCGCCTTTATTATTACAAAGAGACTATTCCTCCGAACGTTCAGAGAAACAGTGCCGATCTTTCTTTCTCCGAACGGTTTACGGCTTCCGGTCTCGTGCTTTTTTGCCTATTTGCGAGAGTTCTGCGCCAACTTTCATTCCCAAGCCAAACGGAAAAATCAGGTTATGTGTAGACTTCACCAAGTTGAATGAAAGTGTGCAAAGAGAAAATTTTCCCCTACCTACAACAGATCAGCTGCTAGCTCAACTCTCGGGATGTGAATATTTCAGTAAGCTAGACAGCAATAGTGGATTTTTTCAAAAACCACTAGAGAAAGAGTCACAAAAGTTAATAACTTTTATAACGCCATACGGGAGGTACTGCTTCAAGAGGTTGCCTTTCGGAATCAGCTCAGGAACGGAGGTCTTTCAAAGGGAAATGACCCAAATCTTGTCGGGCATTCCTGGAGTGGTGGACAACATTGACGATGTCTTGATCGGAGGAAAGGATAAGGAAGAACACGACAGCAGACTTCATATGGTACTTCAAAGAATAAAGCAAGCAGGAGTCACCCAAAACGAAAAGTGTGTTTTTTGCGTCAAATCCATCAAATTCCTCGGACACATTATATCCAAAAAAGGCATACAAATACAGACCTGCCACTCTATAAAATCTCAAAATCAGGATCTCAGGGAGCAAAAATCAGGATTTGGTGAAAAAAATCGGGATCAACAGCAACCAAGGTGACTGCCAAAGCTGACTTAAAATTTTTCCAGGGGTGTCCATAAATTACTTGGCCTATTATGCCCTCTGAGTGTCTTTGTTTGTTTGTTTGCGTGCGCGTGTGTGTATGTGTGTGTGTGTGTGTGTGTGTGTGTGTGTGTGTGTGTGTGTGTGTGTGTGCGCGTGCGCGTGCGAGTTACTATTTTTGGTAAATCCTGAAGCATCACGTCAAGCACTCCTAGTCCAAGTGTCTATACCCCCCTCCCCACCCCAACCAATAAGTCCTGAATTACATGAGCTTAAGTTGACCCCGTCAACGGACGGTCCCCGACACGCAAAACTCACATGGCGATGTCATGTCACGTGACGCGAATGCACGATTGAAACAATTTTATTAACGGGTCCGACTAACTGCACGTTCACACAAAACTCTCAGATGAGCGACAGTCGTTCTACTTCTCGTACTCTAGGATAACAACGGCGGCCGACCGACCAATTGTACCAACAAATCTCTTATCCCTCATAATGCGTTCAGACTAAAGCAACGACAATGGCCGTATGTTAGTCTTGTCAGCGCAGTTACATGTAGTTGTGTAAGGATTAGAAAGACAGTCACTCGTCCGAGTGTTTGGTGTGAACGTGCAGTTACCAGACCTCGGACAAGGCTTGTTTTGAAAGTAGCAGCGGAACTACGAATATTATTGATTATTTGTATGTCCCAAATTGTAACAGTTACCACGCTATCATTGGAGAATTCTGAGTGCGGGAAAAGATCACACACAACTTGGGGCGAGTCAACTACTAAATGCGGCATCGATATTTCGGGAAATAGTGCTCAGAGTTCCTACTGACAAAAAGTTCAACGGGTGCTTCCCGCGATAAAGGAAAAGGCAGAGTAAGTTTTTAGAAAAATCTGGCACAACAGCAGACTGGGACAAAAAATTGGGATACACGCGATCGAAATCGGGAAAATCAGGATGCTTGAGATTTGGGGCAAAAAATCGGGACATCCCGACTAAATCGGGATGAGTGGCAGGTCTGCAAATAGACCCAGAAAAGGTAGAAGCCATCACAAAGTTCCCGAGACCAGAAAAGATAGCCGATGTCTGAAGTTTCCTGGGCATGTTGAATCACATAGGAAAGTTTGCACCCGGTCTGGCAGAAAGGACAAAGCCGTTGAGAGATTTACTAAGAAAAGAAACGATATGGACCTGGGATGATCCGCAGAAACAAACATTCCAGTTATTAAAGAAACAGATGAGTACAGCGCCTTTACTCATTCACTACAGTCCTCAAAAGTCAACAAAGATATCAGCTGATGCATCATCCTATGGCATGGGTGGTGTACTGGTGCAAAAAGAAGGCACAGATTGGAAACCAGTCTATTGTGTGTCAAGGTCACTTACAGATACAGAGCGAAGATATGCACAAGTTGAAAAAAGGAAGCCTTAGCAGTTACTTGGTGCTGCGAGAGATTTGCAGACTTTTTGGTGGGATTGCCAAAATTCCTGATCGAAACAGATCACAAACCACTTCTTCAACTGATGAAAACAAAGCATCTGGATGAATTGACCCCTC